GAATAGATAATCCTAGTAAATAATCCGTTGCTGGGCTGTCCATACCATCTAGGCTCCTTCAAACCATTTACCTGTGCTTAAGACCATTCATGTACTATCACTAATCGAATTAATTAAGGGTGAGTAACTACGCTTGCATTTGAATTCCTCTCAATTCTCCACCTTCTACTTCTAAGAAATTGTCATAGAATCGATACAGCCTTAAAGAAAATCTTGTTTCAACTAAGTAAAACTACCAAAACCGCAGCCGAAAATTGCGCAATCAGGTACTATTCAAATGTAACGTTGAGCTTCGTTACGTTGAGTTCCTGCTAGTTAGTCCTTTAGCCAGAGAGCAATTCACGTGAAGGAAAAATATTTTAATGATATAGGTTTAAAGCTTATTTGTGCATTCTTACCTTACCTTGATATAAGAAGAGACAAACTGCTATTATCATCTTCTTGATTCTTTGAATGTAAAATACTCATGCTGAATTCATAAAATTGGGAATATCAATCGATTGGTTCATAAAAAAACAATATTATTGAAAAAATTTCTTCAGAATTAAAGAAGACAATTTTTAAAATTTCAATTTCTGTTTAACCATTCCTTAAGCCAGCTGTGTGTATATGGTAAAAGCAAAAATAATTAAAATAAGACCCGCTTGACAACCTAAATTGCCTTCAACGTTTCATTTTAATTTTTTCGCTTTCATATGTTGCTGGAATTCATCGCTAACCAGTTTCAGTTCCTCCCTCCTCCAATTCAGTTTTGCCTTTCCACGTTTTGGTAAGTTACGCAAATTAATCCAATGGTCTGCTGATTCTGAAGAGCTGAAATAGCACCAATGCGACGAGAATGAAGCGAGAACTTTCAAATTATGGACGCCCAACATGAATTTAAGAGCTACAATTGTGAAAAAAGTTATTTTGTTGATTAAACGCCTAATTTAATTAAATAGAATTGCCTGAATGCCTCATTTCAATAACGAATTCCGCCTTCAGTAGAATGAAACAATTCTCATGTTCAAAATTTGGGTTTATTTGACTTTGAGGAAAACAATATTGATTATTCAGGAATTTCGTTATTGATTTAGTCCGGAACCATGTTTACCTAAATTAAAGTACAAAATTTTATTTTTTTAGCTACGTCAGATATTTCTAAATAATTTCTTTCTTAAGCATTTGGTTATTTTATAATAGATAAAATAAGCATTACCTCGAATGAGTGAGAATGGGCACGATGCAAAAGTATTTTAACTAGCAGAGACATGGAATAATCAGATTTTTGAATACCCTTCAAACATTTTTTTCAGCAACGAACATTTCAATTCAAAGTTGCCAATATTAAATACATCTCCCAATTTAAAAATTAAATTGATTAAAAAAATAAAATAAGTAGTTTTTGCACATCAGATTGCCCTTTTAACCTTAAATCAGGATTTTTTACTTAACCTAAATACTATCCGACACTTCATCATTTCTGCCACTCCCCATGATTAAAAATCTAAAATTTTGAGTTACCATGGGTGATAATAAAATGAAAAAATTTCTAAATTCATGTGTTTAAATGGTCTTAGGCCAAGTACAATAAGAATGACATTTGCGTTCCTTCGATTCAGACGGCAACAGGCCAAAAAGCTGAGTCTTTTCCTTTGAAATATGGAAATTAATTATAATTTTTTATTGGCAATGAACCAATTGAGGAATCTGTTTAAGAAATATAGAAACGAGGTGTTTTCTAAATCATATAGTTATTTTACCTATTAGAGAATTGTTTTCAAGTTTACAGGTTGAAATAACATGATTTTATTCAAATATAACATAAAGAAACTAATAATATAGTTCAAAGTAATAAAACAATTGAATTATTCTGAAAGGCACCATATTTAGGAAGTAATATATTTTGTGTGGTTCAAGAATATATCCTCTAAGCCTACTTTCGATCCGCCTTTAATAATCATATGGTCGTCAGACAACATTTTTTTGCAAGTGTGAGCTGTGAAATTTTTCTCCAACACGCTTCCGTCAACTTGTTTATCTGAGACTAACGGGATTACACCTGTGTATAATAAAATTATGTGAGGCTACAACTATTAAACTACTTATATCTTTAAGTGATTTTGGTGAGCAAACTAAAACGACTAAAGGGTGTATTTTTAAATGTACTATAGATTTCTAAGTGGGCGTTGTGGACAATGTCATTATTAATAGGACTAGCAGAGAGGACGCAGTTAAAGTGAAGACGTCTGCAAAGTTTATTGCAAGTTTTATAATAATTAAATATAAATTATAAAAAAACATGCAACAACACAGATATATGTCAGCACATCATTTTGCACTTATCTAAACACACAAATGGGCCTCGGCGTCGAGTGGGATACATGATAAGGAGGGGGTGGGGGAGCGAATCATGTTAGGGATGTTACGTGAGAATAAGGTCACTAGCTTCTTACTTTTCTGACTAATCCTCAAGATAGGAAAGTATGTCATTAGTTAATAAATGGTTAATTTAATAGACCTATTTCAACTTAATTGCTGGATGTATTCATTCATGCTTCGTATTCTTTTCGAAAGCGTTAACAACAGGCACTTAGAATAGCATGTCGTTTACTTAAAGGAAGGCGTGTAGATTATGTAAAATGGCTGTGTTTACTGATTACTCTTAATCTGTATTTATACCGCTAATAAAAGGTTAAATCATAGAGCAAAAGTTGGAAATAATTATTTAATTCAATTATATTTTCAGAATTTTTCATCAATATTAGACTGAATACTAGCCATCAACGCTTTAAATTATACTCTTAAAGCAACTGACGATGAAGAACTATATGCCTCGTTACTAGTTTCGTAATGATTGTGAATAATTTCTAATTTTGATGTATTATGTAGAACAATATTTACTATTATAAAGATAAATAATTTTAATGATACATTAAGATGATATCAAAAAATGGAACATGGAGGCAGTTTAGGGAAGTGCAAAATTAGGCCAGTTAAAAGTCATACGCACCAATAATATTCCTCAATGTTGCAAAATCCCCCCCCCCACAGATGAGATTAATTGCTTGATGCTTTCGGGCTCGTATCCTTAAAGTCCAAACCCCCTTTCCCTGAATTGGCAGATAAGTTAGCTTGTGAGAGCAACCAAAATCTTGACTAATGAAAAACTGAACAATAGTACAATTGATCACACAGACATTGCTAAGCGACTGTATCTGTTTATCAAATCTCTACGTCACCTGCTAGCAGCAGTAGGTATGCATTTAATTAAGCGATTTGGTTTAAGTAGATGAAAGTACTGTAAATTAAAGATCAACACACGGCTTCCTTGCCTTCCTATCTGACAGAGAATGATCGGTATACGTGGGGGTACTTCGGCAGTTACTAAATTTTTTTCACAGAATCCTATGAACGTAGGCGAGACGAGAGGTAATGGAGAAAAGAGATAACTGAGTGCCAACATCTGTTCCCGGTCTGCCGCAGTTATAAACAGGTATCGCAGGAACCAGGGTTTCGAATGAATTTATGATTCTCCGCCAAGTGTTGACAACCTTTAACATGCTCATTTTCAATGAAGTTAGAGTTTAACTCATACTATCGGTCAGGCATCTTTGAGGTAAGATTCCATTCGCTGCATTTTTACGAAATAGCTTTGATTTTAAGTGTAGCCTAAGAGATGTTGAGAGAGAGAAAGAGATTAAAATATTTAAAATTAAATATCATTTTAAGGCCTTTCGTTCAATATTACCATGATAATTTTAAAATACCATGTCCTTATTGCTTTTCAAAAGCTTCAATTGAAATTCAAACTAAATGACGGAGCATTTTTATCTTTCAAAATAGGAAATAAGCATTTCTTATCAGGGATCATGAAAATTAGCCTAGACAGTTTAGCTATCAAAAACAAATTATGAGGACTTCATATTGATTAGAATTTGATGAAGTACTCTGTCCTCAATAGTAACTTTTCATGTCTATGTAAAACACCAACAATGATGAGAAATTATTTTTTTACCTAACATACTCCTCAAACTATGAAAGTTTCCTTTAGAAAGAAGAAAGACTCACATTTCTATGATATGAAAATCAATCCTAGTAAGTTTCTGAATATCCATTCTTGCTCATTTGAAAAGAGCAACCTTTCATCTGACCTGAACTTATGTATAGAAAACAGAGTGCTATTTGTTAAAGAGTCAAAATCTTGAAACAGACTGAAATGAACTCAACGAAAGTTTGATAAATTGTGAAATTCTTTCCTATCCACCTGCTTCTTTCTCACCATTCCACCCGCACACCAAATGTTCTGGTCTTAGAGAGGTAAAGCGCCTTTATGCAGAACGTGCTATATTACAATCTCTAAACAGGAGTAAAATTTCCCACTTTTATCAAATAAAATTGATTTTGCACTCTAAAAAATATTTTTTTAAAAATTGACATTTTACAGATTGATTAAAAATCTCTATAAAACCGTGATATTATTTTTAACTAATAAATAAAATCAATAAAGTATCTATTCTTTGAGCTCTATGGAAAAACCAAGGTGTATACTTACAAAATCTTTGAATATGTGTATCTTCCACTTTTGGCCTATCTGCACAAGAAACTCGATGAATTTAATAATAATGAATTTAAAATTTCTTTAAATTGTATTTTTTCGAAGAAACAATTACGTAACGTCTACTAAGCCGGTTAAGTTGCGTTACATTCATTAGGTCGTGTGAACGAATAGACTTCAACCTCCCCTGCGATTGGCTGCTACGAGCGCCTTGCACGTGTAAGTGATGACGATCTAATCGACAATTGGCTGCTTTAGAATCGACAACTGAATGGATACTCCCCTGCTGATTAAAGTGGTAAATGAATGGGATTGGTTGACTTGCCTACCAATTTTGGTGTTACTGACATCTGTAGTGCACAAGCGGCGCCTTATTGGCTATTAGATTTGAGGATAATTATACGGCAGTTGGTCATTCTTAAGGGCACAAGCACACATGTCGCAAGCCCTTCTTATAAGAAAGATGGGAGTGCAACCCAAACTTGAAGACATAGAGGTCATGGAGCAAGATCCACCGCCTCTGTCTGAGATTAAAACCGGTTACACTCCAACTACTAGTGCCTCAGCTACTGACATTGCTCATGACTACTCAAGATATGAGAACCTTGATACCCCTACTCCAATCAGATCCTCCGATATTATGGCCTATACTTCTCGATTTGATCTCAGTGAGTACCCATCCTCTTTATCTTCTTTCTTGTATCCTTTATGTTCCCAATTATTTACTTTCATATTTATACTCACTTAAGACATGAACTTCTTTCATACGCCAACCCTTTTGTATTTCATACTCACTTTAAATTATTTTCTTAAATACTCATAAGAAATCAGTAAAAATTGGACATGCTTTAATTAAATCTGAAGTTAAAAGTACGATAGAGGAGCCTCTATTTGACTAACATGAATTGAGTATTTATTATGGACTCACATCGTCAGAATTCCATATCATTAGTTGCAAGAGAATATGGACAGTCTGTCTCTGTAGTAAACTTGCTCGTGTTCTGCTTCTAAGTGTGCAAATTTCCATCTCCTCCTAGGAAGTGTATTTCTGCCTTAAAGCCAGTAATTGAAAAGACATGTTTAGCTGATTTGACAACCTTAAATTTTCTCTGATTTCATTGCTAAAATTTATTACAATTAAACTGTCGACTCCATCGGTAGCCTTCTAAAAATGATAGAAAAGAAATATCTACACTATTTTGGTGGTCTTGTGGTGAAAAGTATTTTATGGTCACATGAAATATCAAATTAAAGCGCTACTTAAATGTGTTCATATCAAATGTTTGAAGATAAAACTGCTTCACTTTCTTTTATATTCCTACAAATTTTATTTTAAGGCGTTCTTTTTATGTTTAAATGTGTTTATCAAGTCAATTTCCGAAATGATAAAATTTTTGTTGTAAAAATAAATTTTCATGTATAGTGGCATGAATATAAACTTAAGTATCTTTTGAATTAGAGAAACTAGTTATAATTAGTCTAATAATCTAAAGATTTCATTTAACTCATTTTACCTTTTACTCAGAAATTAAAGGTATTTCCATCCAACCACCAAGTGAACAATACACTGATTACCCCCCCCCCTCCCCTCCCCTCCCCACACCCCCGTAAATGCGCTATTTCGTAGGTCACGCCAGGATTTGTTTTACATAACCATTGAAAATGGCGATAACGTTTTACATACTTGCATTCCTGTTTCTTTCACAATATTTTCGTTTAGAAGCTAACTTAGTAAATACAGTTTCATTCACCTTTTCGTTACAAAATTGCCCAATCAGTTAATATTAAAAGTGAGTAAACACATTTATCGAAATCGGCAATTTGTTATCGTAGTAATGGTGGCAATTGTTCAATACATTAATTGGAGTTTAGAGAATGTTAGTTTTCTTGAAATTATTCTACGTTTAAATGAGTATTAGCTATACTCAGTCCGCTTATTTTCCAAATACGGTGTTTTTTAAATCTTTTAAGGTGAATTAGGCACTGAAAAGCATTATTGGAACTAAAATAACGGAACAACTAAAAGTTGAAAAAATACATTTGATAATTTTACATAGAATTTTAACTGGATGTTAAAATGCTTTGGTGATAGCGTTGTACTGAATCTTTCATTTTATCAATGCTTTCAAATTGAATTTTCTGCGTCATTGTGAAGGAACTGACAGGCATTCAAAATTATTTCTGCTCATGTTTCTTAAACTGTGTTGATGGAGTCTATCAGGTGTCATGCAGGTTCAAATCAGGAAGCCAATTGTTCAAACGTTGCATTTTTTAGATAAAGTAATCTAAACTCAATTTTCTGTTAAGGCCACACTAAATCTTCGATCACCACTGCTAGTAATGATGTAAATCATTCTCTTATCGAATGCAAAATAGGTTCTCAGGTCACCTTTTTAAGATTTCATGCTCTGATTAAGCGAATGTTCTTTAATGTTGAGTGAAACTCCAAACATGACTCTTCTTTTGTTATATGTTCCTTAATGCGTGCAAGGATCAGCAAACGTGATATGTCATACGATAAAGCGTAGTGTGCAACTTTAGCGTATTCAAGTGTATAGAAACCTATAAAATTTCATTTTCTAAGTTATGGGTTATCCAACTTGAAACGCACTTCGAACCTTGAGAATTTCAATTATCTACATTTTTTAATATTAATTGGTCCTTAAAAAAAGTCCCTTAATCTTTTAAGCTTTCTAAAATCCACAATCAACCGGTACCCATTATAAATCATAATTTAATAGTTATTGGCCTTTGAGAATGGATTTTCCTTAAGTGCATCCAATCATTTCACTCAAAAGTTTTGAAAAATTGACCTAAAAGCCTTCCAGAGTTTAGGAGGGAGCTCTAGTTGATTAGTGCTTTTCAGTGACTACACTTCAAAGCAATATGCAAGCATAAACAATTAGAAAGTGTGGTATGTTTTGAACACTATCCTCTAGAATACCTATTTATCAACACATTTTGGCGTGTCTGGCAGTAGGGCTTCAAGTTAGAGGTCAATTTTGCGTAGGCGAATGAAAACCAATAATTTAACACGGCACGCCTCATTTCTCTTTATAGGAATTCAAATCGATATAATAACAATTTTACTGCCCTTTCGATGCCACAATCATAGGTGAGCATGTAGAGCACTTTTCTTTCCACAATTATTTCATCACAATTAACGTAGAGCACCACAATCAAATCACCTCTACCATATACACACTATGAACATCTAATTCACATTTAAATGCAATCAATTTTACCATAATCCAATACAAATCTGCATAGAATTTGTCTATTCATAACAATGTTGTCAAAGATAATTCTGCTCACTGATGGATTAGGCAACTCGAAATTTGATCAAATTGTTGACCGGGGCATCTATAACAATGGAGAATTGAATGGGACATGATATCAGTTCAGAAGAAAACGATGAATATCGCCCTTAAAAAATAGTTCTCTCTGATTTTTACTCTGAATTTTATGCTTCTAATGTCAAAAGTTTGCGAAAAAATTCCATCAACACCATTATGAGTGCTATTTGAGTCAATATTGATACATTTGAATTTCCGAATGATTTGTTATATAAAAAGTTTCAATAAAGTTTTCTATCTTTATTGTCGTATAGATGTCCCAACGTCTGCTCAATCGGGTCTTAATCCTGCAGTTACTACTGATACACAGATGAGTTCACAGAGACCAATGGGATTTGATATTCCTCAAACGGTTCCACAACCAATGGAACGTCAATCATACGTCCCTATCGAACCTCATAGGTTACCATGCTATCAACAGCCACAGCAACAACTCCAAAGCCAAATCCCTTTCGCACGGGCTTCCTATCCCCAGGCTATTGATTACATGGATTCTGCACCAACTAATCCCTACTATTTTCAATGTTCATTCTCACTTCCAACGATCGGAGTATCGAGTTCTGCTCCTCAGCCAATCGCACAAACCGTTGTCCCACTCGTTACAACTAATATTCCTACACAAGCTCCTGTTTATACACCCCTCCAGCCCATGCGACTCGGTACTCATGCAAGTTTCGACCAGCCTGCATCCACGGGTGAGAGATTTGATGTCCTCGTCAATCGACGAAGTATCAGTGTCCCACAAACGCTTTCCTGTTGTGATATATCACCGTTTAGCGCACAAACACCCGGACTTGCCTCCACGGCAACTGGACCTGGACCATCTAGTACACAAGGCTATTCCTTCGTTAAGCATGAACCCTATGAATTTCCCAGTGAAATGCGAAGATCTAGTTGTTCCAGTCTAACCATATGCCCACGACGAAGTCTTCCCACCCCATCAACTTCAACTGTGGCAAAAGAAAAACAGTTTGTGTGCAATGCAGAAGGCTGCGAAAAGCGATTTGCACGAGTGGATGAACTTAAAAGGCATCAGAGAACTCATAGTGATTTTCGTCCATACACTTGCAACGTTTGTGATAAGGGCTTCACTAGAAGCGACCATTTGATTACGCATAGAAGAACCCATACAGGTGAAAAGCCCTATTCTTGCCAATATTGTGATCGTTGCTTTGCCCGATCTGATGAACGTTCTCGACATTTAAGAACCCATACTAACCCCCGACCAAGCACTAGTACTCGGGGTCGACGTCCTAGTACAAAGTACCAGGTTCGGAAGCCCTTGACGCCTCAGCAATCACAACAAAATCCTGGTCCTTCGAGTATGCCCAGTCAGACCTCTTATCAACAGATTGATATAAGTGGCGCAAGTAGTGATACAAGTTATAGCCAAAGTGAATCATACCGTATGTATCAACCCCCACCACCGCAACCACCACCTCAGTGAAAGAATGGGTAGATATTTTAAAGATTTTCTCCTCAAACCCCACCCCCACCCCTTCCTTCTTCCTCATTGATTTCCTCCTCTATTTCTATACTTCGCTACCCATCCAGAGAAGCCAAATCATCTCAGAAATATGTGATACATTCAATCAATCAACAGACAAGAACTTATATAATCTCCATTTAGACCAAATAGCCGCTGGGCGGCAATATTGCTCACATGCATTCGAATACTCTCCATTTATTCCAAATTGATTTTGGTTACCGATGTGAGTTACTTGGACTGTGTTCTTTATTTTATTTCTCAATCTTCTTTGCCCTAATGGGTTGATATTTTCTTATATGTACGTATGTATCTACTATTTACCTTTAAAAATTCGAATATTTTTCGACGATTTTGAAGTCGTTTGAACAAAAGAAGATTAGGTAGAAGAACCAGATTTGACACTTCATTGCTACCTTGTTTTAAGTCCACCTTTGACGAAGATAGAGTTATTTTCCTTTGAGTATCTTTTAATAACCTCCCACCCTTCAATCACGCGTATATATTTTGATCTTTAACGCATTTAAACAAATAATTGAAGGATACAATATTGCCCCCCTACACCTTTCCACTCACCTCCCCCCCCCCTCCCCCAATCCCACTAAATCGCTCATCCCTCTCCTTCTCTCATAAAAAAATCATTTTATTCATCGCGTCCCCTCTCCCACTTGTTGACTAAAGAATGATAATAAATTGTAAGAGTTCTTCAACGATGTCTTCTCAATCCATATTCTGTCAAAAATATTTTATCTGGAGAATATTCACTTGAATTGCTCTTGACAATCTTTCCTGGGTAGAGGAGGAAAAGGCTTTTGGGTATTTTCGAATTTAATGGGATAATCGATTTCGGATAGAGGGTAGAAATTTAGTAATCTTTGAAGGTTTGCAGTTATTTATTGAGATTTTTCCATGAGAAAAGTCCTATTTAAATAATATTTATGTAAGCAAATCTGTATCCCCTATCATACGCTCTTTGGAAGTTGTCTACAGTTAGAAATTAACTGAATTTTCTGGATTTTGGAAAGGAGAAGCTGCCTAGTTGCGAATAAATTTTAGCAAGGAGAGAGGGCTTGTTTCCACGTCGTTTTAGACTCTACAGTTGAATGTGGTGAGGAAAACTGGTTTCTCAAAATAGATTTTTAATGCCACATTTGGCAAGTGACGAAAAAATAAATCTCTCAAAATCAATACGCAGTGTAAGTGAAAAAGTAAATAAGTTATGAAGTCCATTAAGTGGTGAGCCTTTACCACGTTGACTAGAAAATATGTGCGCCGGTTGACAAGCGTCTTAGTGCACTATTCTGCGTTCAGGTTTAAAAATGCAGGCATGAAAATGGTGAAATGAAGTGGATCAATGAACTATTTATAAGCAAATAATAGGAACAAAAGAAACGGAAAATTCCAAACCTTGTGAGAAAAAGATGGTTTTAATCAGATCCATTGATATTCCATTCTATTTTTTCTGTGCATGTACTTTGTATCAAGTCCAACTCTTAGTGCTAATATAATACAAAAATTAAAAAAATAACTCTGGAAATACGATAGGCCTTGAATCATGAATACTATGGTGTATTCAGTCACCAATTGTGGGCCTACAAGGAACATTTCAAATTCTATATATAGGAATAGCTTGCCTCAGATTGAACCCATAGGAGCCAATCATCTATGTGCACAAACTCCCACAGAATTCTAAGCAAAGAGGTTTTTACTTATTAAAGAATGCCTACGGGGTTTCTTCATTTAAACAAATTCCCGATTCTTAGAAAGACTGTCGTAGGCGAAAGAAGGTGGGCTCTCTATGCACTGCAACAGATTGCTAGATCTTCATTAGTGGAACACCCACCTGCCTTCAAATTTTGATATAATAATGGATTATGGATATATATACATCTCTCTGTATCGTCCTCTATTCCTAATATTGATTACACCGACTTACGGATGTTTAAAATAGCCGACATCCAACTGGTTAGCCCAGAGAAATAGTCAGTAGGAAACGAGAGACTTTCTTCTTCCATAAAACGAATAGGAAGAAACGCCTAGCAAACAAACAGACCTCATTTTAACTTGTTTCCACTAAAGACCGAATGAAGTATAAGTCTTCAGAGGAAAGAAAAGTGAGTTTCAACTTTAACTTATCATTACTTTTTTGTTTGAATCTTTTGAGTTTCAAGTTAATTTACCAAACATCCTGCTCAACTGGGTGCTTGGTCATTCGTTAAGAAAAATGGCATTATGATTACCAACTAAAAAGTACATGACAATTTCGAGCTGAACGGATTAATTTATTAGATCACCTAATGGTCGCTTAAATAAAGAAATTTCTGATTTAAGATATAATGATGAGGAAAATAAAAAAATTCATCAAGACGGATCAGAAGAAACTACAAATTTCATTCCAGATTGGGCTTGAATATTCGATCCTTGAACAAAGTAACTTAGTAGCAAGAATTGACAGGTTACAGAATATTTTGAGTTGGTAGTGCCGAGAGTTACGTGGAATCGCAAGCTTATCGTTTAAGCAGAATTGAATGAGAGAGAATAGGGTGAATGAGTGTATAGGCGATTTAGGCGGAAAGAGGAAGCAACATTGGCGGAAAGGATGATTTTATAACATTAGCATGACCAAAGACAAGGTGGTTGTCTGCTCTCCCATTCTTAGCTTACTGGTGAGAAGTTTGCCTTTATGTGTGAGTAGGTGGGTGAGCAGTATGTAGAGAGAACATAGCAAGGCTTCTTCTCCTCCTCCTCTTCCTCCTTGGCCTTTGATTTACTTTTCCCCTTCGAGACTATTTGTCATAATTGAAATTTCGTTGATGCCTTCGTCTTAACAACAAGATATCATAATCTGACTTTCAATTATCATTTTGATCCTTTGGAAACAAAATAAAATCACATAACTAACGCTACAACAAAATTTGAACTTTTTAAAAAGTAGCATTCATCCTTTTCACAGAATTAAATGTCAAACTCTTCGACTAAATATTTATACTTTGAAACCGATGAATAAAAATATCGCGACGATTTGTGCAAATAGATCTACATGTTAGAATTAGCTGTGCACACATTTTTGATGCCAAGAAAACTTGCTACCATCTTTGTTTAGACCCTTTTAAACAGAAAAAATAAATGCAAGATTGGGGCATTAATCTCCACTGTCATATGAGCTAACGTGAAAGTGCACTTTTAAATCCCTAATATAGAGCACTGCATTGACCTCTACGCCTCTCAACATAAACTCCAGATCATTTCTCTTCTAAGTATAAATCAATTTGGTTCATGTTCTTTCAGTAAGGACTCATTTTAACTCGTTTTTTTGAAGACAGAGTGTCAGAACTCGTGACTTCCACCCGAGTCTTCATGGTATCACTCAATCCATGATGAGCATTTGGAAACCATTTCCTAAATGGGTTTGGGAAACACTATTATTATTCTTATCCATAAAAAATTATTTTGGGCTTTTAAAGATTAGACATGTTTTAGATAAGTACCAACATAACTCTATGTTTCATTTAGGATATCTAATTTTTCCATGCTTTTTGTAATCTTTGTTGTTTAATAATTAATTCAAAACTAGGGGTGTTAATTGCCGACCGGTTAAAATAGTCGTAAACCCTTTTACAGGTGCATATTTTGAATTGGTCATAATGTATTTTGAAACAAACTTATAAATAGATTTTCTATTTAGATATAACTCCCCTGAGAGCACATAATGGGCTTGCTTGTATTGTTATTAATATATATTTTTACATTTTGGTATTTTTCTATTAATAAAATGATGTAATAATTTTATTTTTATAATTGGTTGTTTTGAAAAAAATTACAACAGTAGTTAACCAGATTGTTGAGTGGTGACTAAAATACATAAAAGTAAATGTTGATCTTGCAATTGTCAATGTCATTACTAAACGGTACCTTGTTTATCGTGTTAGTATAAATAGTGCGGTATTTAAGAAACTCATTTAATCTACCTAAAAATTCAAATACGATCAGCAGGTTATAGTGAACGGTAACCATTCAAATAAGATATGAAGTAGGATCAAGTGAAGAGCATGTTTAAATTCATTTTGTCTGACACCCAACAGAATATTAAAATCTGAACTGCTTTTTTTCTGTCATTTAATATAATTCAGAATATTAATCTTCTTGGTTGGTTCATGTTGACGATGTTCAATGTTTATTTATCAGTAGATTAACATGGTTGTTCCATGAGTCCAGATTTATTCAGGAGCCTCAAACCACTGGTCAATAATAACTGAGTGAATTTAAACACCGCAGAACATACAGGATGCAGTCAAGGCGATTTTTCTACAAGTTATTTCCAATGTTATAGATTTGTTAGAATATTTAAGTCTCGGCATTCAAATGCATATTTTATATTCTATTTATCAAATCATTGTAATTGGAAAAGTGTAGCTATTCTTTTTACTTAATAAGGAAAGCATCTATAATGCAAATCATGTAAACTTTTCTCAAACGGTGTTTAATAAATTCGATAAACTCTCAGTACTTTCAATAACAAAGAAAAACTTTTGAAAAAATTGGATCAGACATCTCCTGTTTCATAATCAAACATCGAATATTCAACTAAAGAATTTATTTTTTAAATCCATTTTTTCTGCAGAAAGCATTCGCTTGCAAAGTAAAATAATTATATCGTCTTTCGTCAATGAACAGCATTTGAAATAATTGAATATAATTTAAGAGTGGCATAAAGTTAATACTACTTTGACTTTTGATGCTTAGTTACAAAATATTTGATTGATGGAACATCCGTGTTCATAGAACTAAGTTTTAGACATTGTTATCTAGTTTTCCAAGCCAAGTGTACTTTGCAATAGTCTGTGATTTTTGAACGAATTTTCAATTCATCTGCGACTTCAAGAAGTTTAGAAATTGCTGAGATATCTGAAATTCGCAATTTCAACATATTTTATTAACCGTCAGTAATCTCAACAATAAGT